CCTCCTCTCCTTTTTTCCTTCTTCCTCCTCTCCTTTTCCTTCTTCCTCCTCTCCTTCCTTCCTCCTTTCCATTCCAGCGTTAACAGCACACGGTGTTCCCAAGCGGTCACCCATCCAAGTACTACCCGTGCCCAGTGATGCTTAACTTAAGTGATCGGACGGGAACTTGTGTTTCCATCACGGCAAGGCCGTTAACTAAAATAAGATATTATTAAATCAAATTAAATATAAAATAAAATATTATAATAAATTAAAATTAATATAAAATACATAATTTATAATAAATATTTTATATAATTTTTTTTTTTATAATCAAATTAATAATTATAAAAAAAAAATATTATATATAAAATAAAATATTATTAAATCAAATTAAAATAAAATAAAAGGATTCAAAAGAAATAATATGATAGATGATTGCAGTTAATATCTAATAAATATTCCAAGCTCGTTATTTGTCGTTAATATATATATATATATATATTTTTTCTAGCAATGACGTCATTGCTTACGACAATAGATTGGGGAGGGGGTGGGGGTAGTCCTATTTTGATTGAATTACAAATGAAAACTATACAAACGCGATTAGATTTATGATATTTGTAATCTTATGATTTACAGATTAAATTCATATACAAGTGACATTTTTCTTTCTCATTTGTTTGAACTAAAATATTATCGTTGAGAATCGAGTTACATTTAATTAACGTGATAAATAATTAATTGTTCGTTATTAATAGTATTATGTTGGTATTTTGTTTATACCTGTGTGTGGTACTTTGCTTACAATCTTTGCTTCGAAATCTATGTAAATCCTATTTTGTTTTCAAAGAATAAGTAAAGAACTTTGAATAATACACACGTGTATATATAATGGTAGTTAGGTCTCATATACACATACATATACATATACGTATATATATATACATATACAGACGCAGGTAAAAAGCTCGTCAAATTCATCGATACGATCTTAATTATATGTGAGTAATTTTAAAGCCCACGCGTTTGCTGAAAGAAAACTGGGTCAATGGTATAAAGTTTTTTTTTTTTTTTTTTTTTTTTTTTTTATTTAAGTCGTAAAATATAAAAGCACTTAACTTTTAACGCCTTTAAATCGAATAAATTAATTAAAAGCATTTAAATAATGATAATAGATATTTAAATTTGACTTACAATGAATAGATGATACGAAATAATGAGCATTTCAACATGTGAGTTGCTAATTAATTATTTAAATAATTGGTAATAATTTAAAACAAAAAAATTCAATTTTCAATAAATAAATAACAGTTTAACATGTTCATTTAGATATATAAATATATTTTGTTTAAATAAAATGTGACTTATTATAAAATAAATGATTCGGTATAAGAATGAGACAAATGGATTTTGATAGTCAACCTCTGCCAGCCTTTGTTTAATTATTTTAATAATGGGTAATAATTTAAAAATAAAATTAAATTTTCAATAAATAAATAACAGTTTAATATACTCATTTCTATATCTATATATTTTTTAAATAAAATGTGTGACCTATTATAAAATAAATGATTTAGTATAAGAATGAAACAAGTGAGTTTTGATAGTCAGCCTCTGCCAGCCTTTAATTAATTATTTAAATAATGGGTAATAATTTAAAAATAAAATTAAATTTTTAATAAATAAATAACAGTTTAATATATTCATTTCTATATATATATTTTGTTTAAATAAAATGTGTGACTTATTATAAAATAAATAATTTAGTATAAGAGTGAAACAAGTGAGTTTTGATAGTCAGCCTCTGCCAGCCTTTAATTAATTATTTAAATAATTGGTAATAAATTAAAAATAAAATTCCATTTTTAATTAATAAATAACAGTTCATATAATCATTTAAACATGTATATATATTTTTTTAAATAAAATGTGACTTAGCATAAAATAAATGATTTAGTATAATAATGAAACAAGTGGGTTCTGATAGTCAGCCTCTGCCAGCCTTTAATTAATTATTTAAATAATGGGTAATAATTTAAAACAAAAAATTCAATTTTCAATAAATAAATAACAGTTCATATAATCATTTGACATGTATATGTATTTTTTAAAATAAAATGTGACTTAGCATAAAATAAATGATTTAGTATAATAATGAGACAAGTGGGTTCTGATAGTCAGTTCCTGTCAGCCTATAATTAATTATTTAAATAATGGGTAATAATTTAAAACAAAAAATTCAATTTTCAATAAATAAATAACAGTTCATATAATCATTTGATCATGTATATGTATTTTTTAAAATAAAATGTGACTTAGCATAAAATAAATGATTTAGTATATGAATGAAACAAGTTGGTTTTGATAGTCAGCCTGTCAGACTTTAATTAATTATTTAAATAATGGGTAATAATTTAAAAATAAAATTCAATTTTCAATAAATAAATAACAATTTAATATATTCATTTCTATATATATTTTGTTTAAATAAAATATGTAAACTTATTAAAAAATAAATGATTTAGTATAAGAATGAAACAAGTTGGTTTTGATAGTCAGCCTCTGTCAGTCTATATTTAATTATTTAAATAATTAGTAATAATTTCAAAATAATAATTCAATTCCGAATAAACAGATAGTTTAATATATTCCAAAAAAAAATAAAATAAAGTAAAAAAAAAATGATTTGAAAGTGAAACATAAAAAGTAGTTTAGTATGTCTGGTTGTCATGACAATTCGATACCGAAAATAGACGTTGCTTTTTCCGTAGAATCGTTTGAGTTTGACAAGAAGAAAAAAAAAAAAAAAAGAAAAAACTATTCAATAGCAGCCTGGAGCTGTTTTCGATCGAGTGTAAAGTAAGATGAAAAGAGAGAGAAAAAAGTAAAAGGTGTCGATCGTAATACGACACGAGTAAAACTGTTTATCTTGTTGATATTTAAAAGGCCCTATTGATGAAAGTGAAAACTTTGTTTTTCAAAATAACAAAATTAAATACAAATTTTTATATAAATATATCATTAAATAATGAAAATATATTTCTTATTTTATATTAAATTTATTTAATTAAATTGTATTTATTATTTAACATTATATTTATTTAATTAAATTGTCTTTAGTATTTACTATTATATTTATTTAATTAAATTGTGTTTATTATAATATTATATTAAATTTATTTAATTTAATTAAATTATATTTATCTAACTAAAATATATTTATTATATTATAATAAATTTATTTAATTAAATTATATTTATTAATTTAAATTGTATTTATTTAATTAAATTATATTCATTATATTATATTAAATTTATTTTTTATATTATAATTATAACTCAATCTCTCTCTATAATATGTGTATATATAAAATTGTTTCAATTAAATTTCAAATATTTGTGTGAGTGTGTGTGTGTTAATATTCTTGACCAATTGATGAACTACTTTTAATTGACAATTTTTTTACTATAAAAAATACCCAATCGAAATTTATTTTGTTTTTTAAATAATTAGCCTAATTATTTCACAAAAGTTATTTAATAATATTTTATTATTTTCAATAAAATAAATAATTTATAATAATAAACAAAAATGTCTACTTTCGTCATTCACATTCGAAATAAAAAAAAAAAAAAAAAAAAAAAAGATGGTTATTTAAAAAAACAAAACAAAACAACAACAAAAAGAAGAACCGTGCTTCTGTATAAAATTATTAATAACAAATATACGTGTGATGATTAT